ACATCCTGACCAGTCAGTACACACACACACACACACACACCCTAACCAGTCCACAGCAACTTCTACCCACCCCACCCCACCCCTAGTGGGGAAATATCCGCAGCTCCCCTAAGGTTTAAACTTTTTCCATGGGGTGGTGGTGGTGGGAGGTGCCTGTCAAACGAGGGCCCTCCTTCCTGTAACCTGGGTTCCTGGCTTCCCTCCCACTCCCCGGCACACCGCTCACCTGGTAAACCGAGGCACAGCAAGAAGCTGTAGTAGACCACAGGCACGAAGCCCAAGCCGCAGGACGAGCCGGGGGCCCAGGACAGGGAGCTGTTGGCCACGAGGTGGGCGTGCGTGTGCTCCATCGGCGCTCTTAGTGGCCGTGGCCGGGCCCCCGCCTGCCACCTGGCTGGGACGCTGGCTCGGTGGCAGCCGCAGCAGTGGCAGCGGGAAGGGCAGCGTTGCTCTCTCTGCAGGACTCGCTCTCAGCCTCGCCCGCGCCGCTCTGCGCCCTGGGCACCTGCCCGGCGGAGTCCCGCGCAGCTCCCCCCAGCAGCGCGCACCGCGCAGGGCGCCCCGGCTCGGGAGGGGCTCGCGGAGCCGCCTGGGCGCCTCCCACCCTAACCCCGCTCGGCTCCCGCCTGGAGCTGGGCTAGCACGCCGATCCCCGCAGCCAATCACAGCCCGCCTGGCCGCGGCGCGTGGAGGGAAGGTGCCAGGGGGAGGGGGTCCCAGCTGTGGCTGTGGGCTCTGGTTTGGGCCACACGTCCCCGCTCCCGCCCCCTTCCCCGGCTTCACCCCTTCAGGAAGACCTGTTGGAGGACAGGCTGCCCATCTCCATCCCTCGCGGGAGGGGCGTGGACAGGGTGGGACCCTGTTCCCGCCTCCACATCCCCCACCCCAGCAGCAACATACACCTCCAGCGTGTCCTCGCGTTGCCTTTGTCCACTCTCCTCTCGCCACCTCTTTCCCCTTGCGGGTGCTTCTAGGCCCTCTCCGAACCCTAGATTCTGCACCCCGAGAAGAAGCCAGGGTGCTGAAGGCTTGTCCTTGTCCCTGGATCGGTGGCGCTGAGCTTGCCTGCTCCCAAAGGAAGGGTGCTTGTCGCCTGTGCATGCGTGTGGCTACCCCGGGGGAGCCCAGAAGTGGACTCTGAACCGGGGAACAGCTGAAGGAGATGCAGGCCAGGGAAGAGAAGCCCGGGATGCACGGCTCTTCTCTCGGGAAGATAGGTGGAGGCTGCAGCCACGTGCACACCCAGATTACACAGTACTCAGTCCTGCAGGCGCACGCACTCACAAACTCACATAGTGTACAGAGGGGCTCAGTTCTCCCTGGGCTCACCCAGGCGCCCTGGCCAATGTGCACAGATACCACACTCACAGAATCCAGGCACTCACGCCGACACAAGGTGGGATTCATCTGGGGGACTGTGAGAGTGTTGGGAGGTGTGTGAAGGACAGGTCATGTTAAGGGGGACATCCAAGAAGCCTTGGAGAGTTGGGGTGAATGGGTGCAACCCTCTTCTCTGCGAGGCAGGTGGAAAGTTCTCAGTCCAGCATTTCTTGAGGTGATACCAGAACTGGGCAGAGAGGCTGGGTCTGTAATGCAGACAGTGAGAGAAGAGAAAGGGAGAAGGTGGAGATTCTGCAGAAACAGAGTGGGACAGGCCTGGAGGCTGACGGTCACTGCCACCATGCTTGGTAGCCTAAGGCACCCTCTGCTCCCTGACACCCTCATCCCATAAAACACCCACTCCTGGGAAGAAGGAATGGTCTGAGCTTTCCCTAGATTCTTTCCAGGTTCCCCTGAGGGTGGGAGTCCAGCCCCCACCCCCCACCCCACATGGAGGGGTAAGGTTGGAGAATTCTTCTCTTCTCTGCTACAGGCTTGGGTTGTCAAAGGGCCAGGCCAGCTGCATACGTGAGGGAGGTGAGGGATGCCTGTGTTTTGTGTGTGGGGAGGTCTGGTGGTTAGGGAGGCATATATGTCCCTCTGACGAGGGTTGATTAGTATCAAGAGTCACAGAGTCTAGTGAGGCCAAGCCTGGTATTTCTAGCGACGTTAGAAATAGATCCTTGATAACAAACACTCCCCTTGTTTAAATGTGGCTAAACAAAGCCCCAAAGAAAGACCTCACTGTGTGTGACAAAGGAGCCCTGGTGGCGTAGCGGGTTACTCATTGAGCTACTAACCACAAGGTCAGCAGTTCAAACCCATCAGTAGCTCTGAAGAAGAAAGATGAGGCTTTCTGCTCCAGTGAAGATTTACAGTCTCAGAAATCCACAGGGGCAGTTCTACTCTGCCTTACAGGGTCACTGTGCCTTGAAATCAATTTGATGGCAGTGGTGTGTGGCCACTGAAGCGACCTGCCTGGCCCTTGCTGGGGTTCTCAATAAGGACTTGCTCAAAATAATGCTCTAGATTGGACTTGCCTGTGGGAAGCTGGGTGGACATGAGAAAATGGGTAGAGAGTGGGATGTAGGTAATTTAACAAAATTGTCTCTGAAATTGTAGCGCATTCTAATAGGATTATTTTCGGTCTTTTTTTAATTTTTGTGGTGAAAATACATGAGGGGACTTAAAAAAACTTCATAAAAACATGGAATTAAAAGAGAATGGAATTTTCCATACACTTTTTGAAACCCTCTTGTCTATGACAGAAACCTGCCACCTCAATGTACAAATCGTATGTGCAAATTGATGACATTGACTATATTCTTCATGTTGCTATCCTTTTCCAGATCATAAGGGGTACAATTTGGCAACCCGCCTCCCCCAGTGGAGTCTTAGATCTCCTGACCTTGTGGGCCAGGCCTCAAGGATCCTGCACTGGCTCTTCCCTCTCCTTGGAAGGCTCTCCCTGAAGATAGCTGCTTTATCCACTCCCTACTCATTGAGGCTTTCTCTAACATTAGGAATGGAGGTTTCCACTCCCCCTCCCCCCCACACTTCTTTGCTCTTCTCCTGCGTATTTTGCTCCATACTAGCGTATCAAGTAATTTGTTTTGATCATTGTTTATCTGTTTCCTGCTTAGAATGTTAGCTCCGCAGCGGCTGCTTTGTTGTTGGTCACATTCCCCATCCACAGAGCAGTGACCTCTGTTTTAAATTCTCAACTCGCATTGAAAGCATGAAAGGCCCTAGCACCCACTGGTCCAGGGCACAGGAGACAAATTGATCTTGCTTGTCATTTCAAAGCAGTTAAGGTTGGTGGGAGTTAAAGAGTTAAGGGGCGAGGGGAAGGGGTAACCTTAGATTGAATATACATTTATCATGTATGACCAACTTCTCCAAAACTGAGGTGTATGGTTTGGGTTCTAGAGAGTGTGTATTCTAAACAAGAAACATGCCTGGCAAAGGAACTGGGTGGCATTGTGAATATGAAGGGATATAATTGAGCCTCTATTGATGAAAACCCTGGTGGCATAGTGGTTACGTATTGAGCTGCTGAGCGATCCGCTGTTCAAAGCCACCATTTGTTCCATGGGAGAATGATGAATGATGAGGCTTTCTACTCCTGTAGAAGAGTTATTGTATTGGAACCCCATAAGGGCAATTCTATCCTGCCCCATAGCGTTGCCATAGCTCAGAATGGACTCGATGGCAGGGAGTTTGGAACCTCCATTTCCCCCCTTGCATAGTGGGCTGGGATTCGGAGGACGAAGCGAGGGTGTGAGGAGCGCATGGAGCTGGATGGGATTATAAGTGGGTAGCACCTGGTAGGGTGTGGTGAGTTTGATCTTCACCCTGAGATTCAAGTTAGGGGAATATCATGATCAGATTTGTATTGTATTACATTTGTTTTTTCAGGGAGGTAGAGAATTGAAGGGAAGAAGAAAAGAATGGAGCTGAGAGAGTATGAGGTTGTCTATTAGAGCTTAACATCTGATCACTTAGTTTTCAGATGGCGATGGATAACAGTGAAAGACAAAATCTAGTTGCCGAATCACTATGGGGATTGCATCTCTCTGAGTTCATTCTGACTATTAACCAGTCTTCCATAGGGCCTTTCCTGGTTGTGACCTTGATGGTGATGGCCATACTGGAGTCTCATAGTCATGAGTCATGCTGTGACTGTCTTGGTTGGAAGGTCCTGGACCAATCTTGTAACCTCTTCTAACGTAATTCAGATGTCCCAACCATGGTCCTGGTCCTGCTTTGGTAGTCCCACCTGTAACTGTAATGCATTTATCTGCTGCCAATCATGTTTTTGTCAAGGGTTCCTTTGACACCTGCCCCCCTTCCCATCCATGTCTTTTAAGTCCGTGAATCTCAGCAAACCTTTAGACACCATTATGACCTTGTGTTAGGCTTGTCTAGAAAACAAAATGAGTAACACTCACATATGTTTAAGATTCATAAGGTGACCAGATTTTAACATTGGCAAAACTCATACCCTGGCGAAATAGCCACATGGCAGCCAAAAACTGTATACCCTAGCTTGTCGTGCATTCTTTCCAAAAATCGGGACTTTTTAAAAATGCCACGGAACACGGGACAGATTGTTAAATATTGGGACTGTCCCACCCAAAGCGGGACGTCTGGTCACCTTATTTAAGAAAGAACTTTATATCAAGAAGTCAGTTTATATCAAAAGGACATCTCAGCTCAGTCCAACATAAGTCCATGGATCCAGTGCTAGCTGGGGCCCTCTTCAGACTCATTTAGCTGTGGGCAGATGGTGCAGAAAGTGGGAAGTAGGGGGATCTCAGGCTGTGTATAGTCACAGGGATCCAAGATGGGTGGAAGCATGGCAGGATGCTGACAGCTCTCCAGGTCAACAGCCCACATGGGGCTGTCCCTGGAGGCAGACACAGAGTCCTCGTGAGGAAGAAGAGAAAGGAGATGTTCCTAATGTCTCTCCTATGAAAAGGCAACACTTCTAAGGACACATCATCAGGCAGTGTCTCGATTGATAGGTTGGACTCCACCCCTACACTTACATGCAGGCGCAAGTTGACATAAAGTCTAGCCACCACAGACCTTGTGCTCATGGTCTCCTTCATTTGGATGACGTGTTCTTGCCTTTTTCCTATTTAATACATATTCTCCTTAAAGTATATTTCAGTTTGTATCCCCCAAACAGTTGTAGAATTGGGTATGTGAGACATTATAGTGGTTTGGATTAGGGTGGCATTGATGATGGAGTGACCTCTACCCTAAAAGTCAGGAGAATGGGTGCATGAAGGAAGAAGATGAGTGAAGAAGAGAGACTGAGTGGACAAGACAACGAGAGACGGAGAGGAGAGACAGGGAAAAGAGAGGGGAAAAATAGATGAGCTAGAGATAGAGACAGAATTGGGGTGATCGTTTTCTTCTGTTTACATGTCTTAATCTTGAGGGTGGGGGAGCCCTGAGGCAC